CCCCAGGAGAGAGGGAGAGGGGGGGATCCGAAGTGTTTACGCGTCCAGTGTCAATGTTTCTACAGTCTGCTTTCTTTGATTTAGGTTTGGTCAGTACACTTTGCAAAAATCGATATGCTTTGATTCGCCATGATGTATTGAGAACATCATTCGAACAATGGCTAGATCAAATTCACCAGATCGATACGATGTCTTCTCATATCGCATACGTTTACATCCCACTGTTCCATATCTATCTTCCATATCGCCCTCAATCTCTCTGGTCTTCCTTCTGTTTTGAAACGTTAACCCCTTAACACCCGAGTTGTTTCTGTTTGAATAAAACACCCAACCGCACTCACGCGTGTCTCACAGCAGCAGATTGATTTCGCCGACGTGGAGAGTTTTAGTGGGGTATCAGGCGAAGGTTATTGACACGTATTGAACATGTCTCAATCGGCAATAGCGTCTTCTGGTACGAGTCTAGTACCAATGGAGCTTATTTTGAAAGAGGACCACGTACGGTCTACCTGGGTGTTAATTTGTTAACTTGAAACTCCACCAGACTTCGCTTCATAAAAATGCGGAATTTTTGCATGCCTAGGGGATTTTTTTCACGAATGAAGCCTGCGTGTCTGTTGGCGTGGCATATGTGATCTACAGGCGAACAATACTGTAGCTTAATTGCTTATTTAATGGTTCGCGATAGATATGTATGGAATAGTCCTTTGTCGCAATGCACCTAACGGAAATAAAAGTTGCAGTCATGTGTTAATCTTTTAAAGCCCTCCAGGACCGTACGCGGTCCTCTTTCAAAATATGCTCCACAGGTACCAAGCTCGTAATAGAAGTCGTTTGAAGCGGGTTCAATACGCCTCTAGGGTCTTCGCCTGACAACACCACCAAAACTCATCGCGTCAGCGGCTTCAATCTGCTGCGTGAATGCGGTTGGATCGATTGTCAGTCTTCAATTTTGGCAATTTGTCTTCTATGTGCTGCCTAAGCTTTGTAGTATTTTCTGAAAGGTAATTGTGGATCATTTTTCAGTGACGGTAGTCCCTGCTGACAAAGCCATGTGTCCACTAATTTAATTTACGGTGTCTGGTGGGGGGAGGGGGGGGGGTACGATTACCCATACTTCAATGGAAGAAGAGGGAGAATCCCCAGCTAGTTGATCCATTCCCTTGGTCGGCCACTTGATTGCCGAGTAAAGTGGTAATGATGCAGGTTTTTTTGCTCTCAGAGACGATCGCAGGAGAGAGGAGTCAGAAGATCTAGAGGAACGGATTTTGTTCACGAATTCTCTTAAATTCCACTCAATTCGATCCTTTCAAGTACGGCCTTTTTGCGTATTCACATTACCATATATGTGATGCTTATAAAGCGACTTCAGATATATTTGATATTATGGAATATGATTGGAGAGAGAATTTAATCAAAAGTTGTTCTGTTTGGAACCGGGAAAAGTTAATAATTTAATAATCAGTTATTTTAAAATACAATGTGAGGGGATTACATTTTGCATGATGTTTTATTAAATAAATTGACGGGGACTACTTTGTAGGGTCTGTGGTCTTGACTCATGTTTGAAAGTTTTCGACGCATCTTTCGAATATCGTTGCTTGTCAATAACTTGTCCCTTTTTTATTAGTTAAAGCGTGCGCGGATTTCAATATGAATTGCTTTTCAACTCTCCTGTATGCAATATTACTAAAGTTGGATGTACATTTGACTTACCTCCACGTGGTGCGCTCTGGACAACTTTTACTCATATGGCAAGAAAGTCTATAATTCTGCAGTTGACTTCAAACTAAAGTATCAATTCAGTGATTGAATAGAATTTTCGAGGTTCTAAGTCTTTTGTCTCATAAATCATAATCTTCTATTTTTATTTCTTTATAACATTTTAACCAATCTGATTGAATGTTTCCCCCAAATGCACAACCATTCAATAGATTCAGTCTTGTACTTAAGCTAAAAGAATTTTATTCTCAAATTCTATTGGTTAGTAAATGTGCACTTGTATAAAAATATCCGCCAATCATGAACGCCTTTTAGCGTGACTGTGTAAATTGTAATCAACTATAATATGAATTGCGTGTTAGAATGAGCCGGAACTACTTCGTCCAATCAGTATTCTACAAAGTCGTTATTTTATATAATTTTATAAATAATTAACAAGCTTAAATTACATTCAGCAAATTTTCCAGTTGAAATTATAGCTGCCTGCTTTGCAAAAAACTGCCTATCATTTTGGCCTGATTCTATTGGCATTCGCGGTCAATAGATTTTGTTAAATGGTTATTTTAAGGTATATCATAAAACCGGAATTTCAAGAAGGAATAATTTAAAATGTTATTATGAAAGATGCAAAGCTAGAATTGTGCCCTGCATTAGGCCCAGTATTATGCTTGAAGTGGATGGGGTGCGCGATAGACTTACCTCCACGTGGTGCACCCTGGGCAACATATGATCGTAAGGCAAAAAGTCTATTAACCGGCAGTTGACTTCTCACTTCAAACTATCATGACCCCACTGTATGTTAAATTTAACCATTTCAACAGTATCCATCTTACCTTTACATCTGTGAATCACTCTTCTTCCCCCTCGCCCCCACCTCGAATTTTTCTCACTATGATGTTCCTCCTCTCCTCTGTGAAGTCCGAAGTCTGCTAAAGGGCTAATGATATCTATCAAAACGCCTGCCATTTGATATAAATAAATAAATGCTTGAAATGGTGTCACTATAAATGTGTTTGTTGACAGTTTGGTTATAATTAACTCTTAGTTAAGTTCACTTGGTTTTTTAGAAAGTTAGTTTTTCTCGAACTTGTATCTAATTACAGTTTGCTAATATCCAGAGCAAATTCGTATTCTTGCCTGACGACGAGAAAGAGCGATCTCTTTATTAGCGTTTAAAACCTCCTAATGCTTTAGGCTCCTATCAATTTCTCACTTTCCTGATGGCTATTAACTAATGTTTCACGCCTTCATTATGTTGTCTTTTGTTTTCTCTTCGGAAATTCTGAATAATTTTTTTGCACTTTTCAGGGTATGCAATATGTAGGCATGGAAGAATAGAGGAATGGGGCATATATCCGTAAAAGGTCAGAATTAAAGGTCTTTGGGATTCGTAACATTTGAGTTGTACTTGTATTTCACCTGGGCCTTTTACCTCTTGTTTCCATGCTGAGGCTGTGGATGGTGTAGCTTTCTTCTAAGCAAATCCTTCACCACCCACTTGTAGTATTTCTCTCCCACAGGATCAAATTGCCAATCACTTTGCCAAATTGTGCGCCTTGGGATTTAACACCTCTACAAGACCTATCGAAGTGAGCAATTAAGGTTTCACTTGTTATTACCTTGGCATTATACCACAATGCAATAAAAGGAAAGTTAAACTATATCACGTGCAAATAGGACCCGAATTTGATTTATCGATTTTTGTTGGTTTCTAAAAAAGCCTTTTCGATGATAAATAATCCACTGTAGTCTACATCTCGGTACTTTCATTTCGCATTTTAAGTGGAATTTGGACTAAATAAATTAATTAATGATTTTGGCTTGTTTTGTACCAAATTTGTTGTTTAATTTCTATCTTCCTTCTATCGATTTTGAAATAATATATTATAATTTGTTTCAGTCATCATCATTTTTTCCGACGATTTTTTTATTTTTCATGAAAGTGAATGCGAAATAAAGAAGGGTTTGAGGAAGCATTTGGTCTATGTGTGACGCTAATTGCGATTGACAGTGTAAGTTTACCAAAAGTTTTTCGCTCATCTCTACACCTTATAGCAACCTATTTTATGGATTTCATTTATTTATCAAGTTGGTTTGATGAGGAAAGTGTGTCAGTACACTTATTTTTTAATTTCCCTAAAACATAAGTTTTTACCCAATTTTTCGAGAAAATTTTGAATTTTAACCAGGTGTGTTCCGAAATTGAGAGAAATCGGCTTAGTGCACGCGCTGTCCCCGATTAGCTGAAATCGAATTTCCATTTGATCTCGCTCTTGGGTTCCTGTGTGACCCAGATTTCGCCCTCATATTTATACCTTATTGGTGCATTTTTCATCGAAGTTCATTAAAAATCGATGGGAGTTAAATTTGATTGGTCCATTTTACGTGAACGGAAAACAAGTATTATCATCCTGTTGGTTAATGGCTTCTTTTACTCATTTGATTGGCCCATTTGCTGTTGAACTAGACTTTACTAAAGATATAGTATTTTAAATTCTTGTTAGTGTAAGATCGGTTTTTGATCAATTTTTGCACTTTTTCTTCCTCAGAGCGCTTTGATCACCACTGTCCCTGGATCGGAAATTGCGTAGGCGTGCGGAATTATCGGTACTTCGTCATTTTTCTCATCTTCGTGTCTACACTCTGTTCTTACGTTCTCATATTCTGTGTCATCAATATTGGTATTGGTAGGTTGATGCTGATTATTATTTTATTGATCACTATTTATAATACCACTTAACCAATAGTTTTATTACCTCAAATAACTCCATCTAGAATGTTTATTTGAAGGGCTTATAGTACTTCATTTCATATTTTTATTATTCCCCACCGGCTCTTTTGCATTTCAGTTTACAAGAACACAACAGATATCCTTGAAACGGCTAAACGCACACCTGCATCATATCCTTTTAACTTCATTTTATATTAATTTTTTAATTAATCTTTTGCTATTTTGCCTTAACTTCCTTGTGCACGTTTGTGGAGGTACTCCTCACTTTCTTTCTTTGGCTATCAATTTCTGGACTCACCTTCTACCATGTCTTTCTCAGTTCCAAAGAAATTTCTACTCATGAAGACGTACGTTTAACGTTGTGATTATAAGTTGTATATATATATATATATACATATTCAAATTGCCATAAATGTTGGAGCAGATCTTCTAACTATTGAATCATGGAACGATTCAAGTGTAAGTATTGGGAGGTTGGATCTTCCTTTTCTAACAGCCACAATCGTGCGTCAAAAGGAGGTTTGAATGGTATGAGCAAGTTTTCAGTTTAGATATTTAAACATCAATACATTTATTATTATTTGGAGGGTGGGGGTGTTCTTATGACAACCTTGGTATGTGCGATAGATTTACCTCCACGTGGTACACCCTGGACAACATATACTCATACGACATATGTCTATAAACCATCAGTTGACTTTGAATTTAAAATAACCTGACCCCATTGTATGACATATACCACAACTTTCACAGTACTCACCTCACCTTTTCTCTGCCTTTGTGTCTGTCTGTCTCTTTTACATCTGCGATTCACTCTTCTATTACCCCTCTCTCCTTTTCCTCACTTTGATGTTCCTCCTCTCTGTGAATCCTGAAGTCAGCTAAAGAGCTGATGATAACTATCAAAACGCCTGCCATTTGAAATAAATAAATGTCAACCTGTTCATTAGTGTGGATTTTTAGTTTACTCCTTAGGTCACCTTTATTGAGATTTACAAACAGCGTTTTTGTATAATTTGTACTGATTAAAATAATCGACAATGTCCCATCTGATAGCAAACGTTATTTGCAGGTAAAGAACTACTGTCGACCTTATTAGGTATTACAATTTTACTTTTTTTTAACTTGAGAAACCAGGCTTATTCGTTTAAATCCGATCCCTATTAATAAAATTTGAACCCTTTGGGTTTTGGCATTCGGTGTGAAATTTATAAATTATCACCCGTTTTAGATTCGACAATTCTCATCAAGCCTCCGACGAATGGGTCAGAAGAATCCCTTCTCGAGAAGCAATGGAGTAAAAAATCTTGTAGCAGTTCTTTGTGGCCCTGTCAAGCCAAGGTGCGCATGAATAATCTTGTCAATGTCAACTTAAAAAGAGCACTGTTTGCCCAGTGATTGATATGCTTATCCATGAATTCTTTGGTGATTTATTTGAGGACTATGGTCAATCGAATTCGATAGATCTAGTGACTATTGGCCTCTTAATCTCATTGTCATCCACCTGAATACTTCAACATTATTATTATTATTATTATAACGTTTAGCTCCACTAAAGTTAGATAACTGATAACCTGCCAACCGTTGTAACGCCCAATAATTGATGAAGATATTACTTTCAGACACTTATTCTTTGTTAATTTTGTATTCAGCGTCCTTCGGGCTTGGAGGTTGGTAGATCCCGAGTTTATAAGACCACCAGATTTCCTCACTAAATCTCCTCTTTCAGGAGCTCAAAGTGTCGACGACAATTCGACAATGCAGCATACTCTTTCAGTAAACGCCAGGCCTCTCAAAACCAATTCAAAAGATGTCAGCTCAAATGATGTAATGAATGAATCTGTGAAATTAAATTCCACTCGCTTTATTTGCTTTCGACTCCCCCCCCCGTGTTTTTTTTTCCTTTTTTAGGATGACTGGAGAAGTGTTCCAGGTGGGTATCCACGTCAGAAACGAAGTAATAACCCTAATGACAGTAAGAATGACCTCTTATACGTATACACTATTTCTTAATTGGTTGTTGAAATTTGATTCGTTATTTTAGCAAAACCTTTGGCTGTCAAACCACCGGATATTAAACGGCGTCGAGTAGTGCTAGCTGGTGAACTAGATGAACATGGAGATAGAATGCCGACAGCGGGCTTTAACGGACGTGCCATTATCTCCGTGAAAGCGCTACCTCCACGTCAACGCAATGATGTGGATGGTGGTGCCAATCAACCGGATGAGTGAAGAAGATCTATTGATGATTTTATGGCTTATCTGTTCGCTATACTACCACTGACTTTCGTAATTAAGCTTCAATCCGTGTGCGAGCTAATACCCATTTTGTTGGCCTCCATTATTAGTGAAATCATTTTTTATTTTGATAATTACATTATCTTATCTTTGTAGACTTTGAGATAATATAACGGGAGACAGGTTTTGAGGTTGAGTCATTATTTGCCTTAAGCGCTTGGATGTTAGTTGGTGATAACTTCGTAAATTTTTGATGACGCCCAGTAGTTGCTTTGGATGTGTCTCGTCCATCGTTACTATGAGTAAATTTATTTATTTCAAATGACAGGCGTTTTGATGGTTATCATTAGCCATTTAGCTGACTTCGGACTTCACAGAGGGAAGGTTAATCAAAGTAGAAGAAAGTCGAGGGGTAGGGAACAGAAGAGCGATTCATAGATGTAAAAGAGGCAATCAGACACAAAGGAAGAGAAGAAGATAAGATGAGTACTGTGAAAGGGGTCGAATATGACAAGCAGTCGGGCCATGGTAATTTGAAGTCAGAAGTCAACTGCCAGTTTATAGACTTTTGTGCCGTATGAGTATACGTTGTCTAGGGTGCACCACAAGGAGGTAAGTCTATCGCACACCCCACTATGAGTAAATTACGATATGTTAAATTGTCTTCCTAAAAACTTGCCAATTACAAGCACAAATTGTATTCAACCCATAACCCTTCTGATTTTGTTGAGGGTGTGTCCGATTTGAAAATGAACCACTGGTCCAATCGTGTTTCGAACTCGCATTTTAGGATAGGGGAGAATGGTAATTAGTGATGGGATGCTTTACCTGAATTTCATGGCAGCTGGCTCAATGAGTGGAGTGTAATGAAATCGTTTACCTTTTTTAAGAACAGTCACGGTTATTATGAAAATAATAGTATCAATTTAATAGGATCGTCCCAAATGAGGGAATAACTGTACACTAATGAAGTTAAAGTGGGGATATTATATGCTACTCCAGCGGGAAGGTTTTGGTAGAAAGTCGAGCCAAATCGAATGCAATATTTTGGCAGGTGTGATATTCTCTCTCCCAGAAGCTGTGGGGTTAATTGTGTTTGAGGAAGAGGAAATCAAAAAAGTTATTGAATCCAAAATGTCACATTTCTTTCGCTATTTTCGAGAAGAAATTTAAGAAATAAACTTCAGGTATGCAAGACAGTATTGTCTAATTTCCAGATTATTTAAAAACCTTTTCTGACACTGGTTTCATAAGCGAAAAGACTTCCAATAAATTAATATTTACATTCTGAAAAACCAAACAGCTCACAAATTCTTTCAAGACAATATTAACATCAGTGCTAAAGTTATTTTAGAAAGAAGAAAACTACATTCAATAATTGAGGCTCTTATAGGAATATTTTATATTATTGGGGATAAACTACTCAGCATTGATAATGACTACAATGGATTACCTCTAAAAATATATTACCCAACCTGATAATTCGGAAAATGTATTTATTTATATCAAATGGCTTGCGTTTTGATAGTTATCATTAGCCATTTGGTTTACTTCAGGCTTCATAGAGGAGAGGAGTAACGAAGTAAAAAGGTCAAAGATGTAAAAGAGACAGACACAAAGGCAGAGAAAAGGTGATGTGAGTACTGTGAAAGTGGGGAAATATGACATACAGTGGGGTCATGTTAGTTTGAAGTCAGAAGTCAACTGCTAGTTAATAGACTTTTTGCGTATGAGTATACGTTGCCCAGGGTGTACCACATGAACGTAGGTCTATCGCACACCCCTATTTAAAATATAGGAGCATGATGCCACAATGAAATCTAGATTAGAGCACTTCCATAAATCCGTCTAAAATTGACTTTATACTTCATTAGGTGGAGTGTGCGATAGACTTACCTCCACGTGGTGCACCCTGGGCAACGTATACTCATACGGCAAAAAAAGTCTATTAATCGACAGTTGACTTCTGACTTCAAACTATCATACTCCGACTCTATGACATATTCCTTCCCTTTCACAGAATTCATATTCGACCCCTTTCACAGTACTCATCTTATCTTTTTCTCTACCTTTGTGTCTGTCTGCCTCTTTTACATCTATGAATCGCTCTTCTGTTCCCAACCCCTCGACTTTCTTCTACTTTGATGAACCATCCCTCTATGAAGCCCGAAATCAGCTAAATGGCTAATGATAGCTATCAAAACGCCTACCGTTTGAAATAAATATTTCATTAGGTTAGTTTAAGGATATAGAAATTTTGGTAGATATTTCTTTTACAAGGAGGGGTGTGCGATAGACTTACCTCCGTATGGTGCACCCTGGGCAACGTATATTCATACGGCAAAAATGTCTATTAACTGCCAGTTGACTTCTCACTTCAAACTACCACCACCTCACTCTATGCCATATTCGACTATTTCCACAGTACTCTTCTTACCTTTTTCTACCCTTGTGTTTGTCTCTTATATCTTTGAAACACTCTTCTGTTCTCCCACCTCTCGACTTTTTTCAATTTGATGTTCCTTCTCCTCTGTGAAGTCTGAAGTCAACTAAAGGGCTAATGATAACCATCAAGACGCCTGCCAT